TTTCATTGGTTTATCTAGTGAGGAGGGACAGAAATATTTTATCATGTGCAATACATTGTATACAAACATGTCTCAGCTAGCTATTTGACAAGTGTATATAATTCACATCCCAAAGTGAATATTACGTCATTCTTATGAATTTTTTGGTCATCTTCTCAAAAGCCCCAGTAAAAGACCCTTCCAGCTATTGGCCTGGGGTCCCCACCTAATTACTGTAGCCACAGTAAGTATCCCTTATATTTTAACAAACTCTATGTCTCTAACTTAGGTACATTATGTACTAAACACAAAATGAAATCTTAATTTCCAGGACCCATATTTTAAAGTAAGTAAAGTTTAAATAGGTATCTCTAATGTGCCAGTGAAGGCGCTCCATGATCCTTCCATCCTCGTCTCTGTATTATAGTCATCCCAACTGCAGGTCCCTAATCATGGTGCTAGAACCTTTCATACCGCCATGCTGCTGTCTGTGCTTGTCTGTGCTGCCACCTCCACCCAGACTGGTTTGAATCTTCCTGTCTACTTGGCAAACACCTCTTCATTTTTAAAGACCCAAGCTTCACATGCTCCTTCCCACTTACTCTCGACAGAATAATGTATTCTCTCCTGCCCTGTGTCACCAGTTGCTTTTTCTTACTTTTTTCTATCATCTATACCAGTTCATTTTTCTTATTAGATTCTGTTCCTGGCAGGTAATAAACTCCTTAAGAGGAGTAATTATGCCACTTATCTTCATAACTGCAGGTCTGAGGACATTATCTGATACACAGTAGGCATGACACTCTTTTTTAGTTATTCATTCATTCCATAAATATTTAAGCATGGAATTTTGATTAAGCCATGATGATTCTGCTCAGGTACATAAGAACAAGAGTACTTACTCATTAAGAGATTTCACAGGCTGTCAATAAGCATTGTGTTTAATAAATAAGTCAAGAATGGGTTGACATGTTAATATATCACCAGTCTATCTGTATCAGAATTACTTGTAGTCTTTTAAGAATTACTTGTTAAAAATGCAGTTTCCTGAGTCCTGCCTCAGACATGCTCAATCAGAATCTCTAGGCATAAGACTCGGGAATCCATAATTGTAAAAAAAAAAAAAAAAAAAGCAACTCATTTACCATGTTCTTACAATAAAGTAAGCTAGAGAAAAGAAAATGTTAAGAAAATCCAAAAAAGACAAAATACATTTACAGTACTGTATTATATTGAATAAAACCCACATATAAGAAGACCCACACAGTTCAAACCCAAGTTATTCCAAGGTGAGTTGTAGTTAAATTGAGATCACAAAACTGGTAATCAAGATTTGGACCCATGCAGACTGACTCTGGATAAAGTTGATGCTGTTGGGGTACCTGGGCGGCTCAGTCCTTAAGCATCAGCTTAGGCTCCGGGCATGATCCCAGCGTCTCAGGATCAAGCCCCACGTGGGACTTCCATTTCAGCGTGGAGCCTGCTTCTCCCTTTCCTCTCCCCCTGCTTGTGTTCCCTCTCTCTCTGTCAAATAGATGAATAAAATCTTGAAAAAAAAAAAAAAACTGATGCTGTCAATATTTCCACTGCTCCTTCCCTCCCTTCCTCCCTTCTTTCCTTTCTAACTCACTCTAATCCCCTGAGTTGTTCAAGGTTCCACTGTAATCTTTTTCTGTCTTAGTGTCCTCCTCTGAAAGAGGATGATTAACGGTACCTACTTAATAAGATTTATTAAGAGGATAAAATGAGTTAATATATAAAAAATATTTCAAACACTACTCATGCATAGTAAATATTATGATGTATTTACTATATTATTATTTTTTGAACTCTTATACTATTATTTAATAATGCAGAGTTTTGGTTCTATTTCTTTTAATTCTGCATTGCTTCTCCCCATTTCCTATAACCTAAGTTTATATCCTTGGCTCTCTGTTGTCCATTTCAATATTCACTTCTTTGAAAATAGATTTGACTGTTAAAGCCTCAAATACCACTTTGTGCAGAAAATGAAGAAATGTAAAACTCTAGCTCTCGCCTTTCCCCTGAACTCTAGCTTTCAACTCCAACAGATCTTTGGATGGTTCCAATAGAATTTCCTACCAAGATATCAAGCTAAATATGTCTAAAACTGAATTAGTTGTCTTCCCTTTGACATTGGTCAATGGCATAATTTTTCAGTCATTTGGACTTGAAATTTCATTCTCCCTTCCCGATGTGACCAGTTATCAGAACTTCCTAATTTCTTTTAATAATGACCTCCTTATTTAGCTTTTCTGTCATTTCTCCCATCTTTGAAAATACTAGCATATTTCAATACATACATCTAACTTATCCTCTAACCTTCTGTCTTTTCAATCTTGGCATCTGGTACTGATCAGTCTTCTTAAAATGAGAATTTGAAACATAATCATTTATCAGTTTGAAATTCTTTAATTTGTTTCCTATTGCCCATAGATCAAATCTTAAATGGTAGAATGTAAACTCCATGAAGGGAATTTTCATGCATTTTGTTCACCAGTGTAACTCAGTGCCTAGAAGACTCCCGGGCATATACTAGGTAACACACTAAATGTTTATTGAATGACTGAATGAACCTTATCCTGGCATTCAGAGACTTCCATATTTTGCTCTAGACCGCTCTTCCATTGCACAAACTTCTAAGACAAACTGATGAATCTGTTTCTTTCCCTCTGAATCTAATTAAGATATCCTCCTTTTCCCCATTGTTTTCAATCTCCTATTCTCCATTTCCAAGCACGTTGTCTGTTTCTGCTCCACCTATGTAAATCCTCTTTACTTTTCAAGGCCCAGCTAAGTCCCAAGGTCTCTGTCTTGATTAATTTGATCTATGTGAATCTCCACCATCCTAAAAGTCTATAGCATTTAAACCTTACACTGTTTATTTTTAACTGGGCAAATGCCTCTGCTCCTATAAACACAAGTACTCTCTTTGAGGCTGTGTATATACTTTGAAATCTTCTGCATGATAAGAGCTCTATTAACTATAATGAGCAACTATTCTCTTCTTATAGTCAAAGAACCTGAGATATATTTTAATGATAATTCAATTTCATACAGCATTCAAATACTCACACTCAAAAGAAAAAAAATGTTTTTAATCCTTAATGATTTGATGGGAAACTGGAGAGAGAGATTAGGTGAGTTACTGCTTAATTCTTACCTATTCTTTCTACTCACCAAATTACCTGTCTTTCTTTAGTTGACTGCTAATCCAAAAATAGAAAAACTGTAGTTTAAGACTGTTAAAGAATGGCTATCTCCCCTCAGCCCCGGATTTCTAGAAGAATTCCAAAAAGCTGTGGCTGTTTGTTACAAAAATCAAGGGGTGGGAAGGGTTTTACAGTAGTTAGATCTGGCAGGTAGCACCTTGATTAAGTGATCAAAGATAACAGTACTAGTAATAAGATATTTCAACATTATATATACCCAATATGATGCCCTGAGAAAGAGACATCACTTCAGTAGTATTTATGTCAAAAATACATAACCTGAACCTAATCATGAGAACACATCACACAAACCCAGATTGAGAGACCTTCTACCAAATGATGAATGAGAGCTCTTCAAAAGGTTTCAAGTCATGAAAGACAAAAGACAGGAACTTCCACAGATGGGAGGAAACTCAGGAGATCTAACAGTTGAATCTCTCTGTTAATTAATTAACTAAACACAGTATAAGATCCTGAATTAAATACTAGACAAAGGATATTTTGGAAAACTGACAAAATTTGAGTAAGAGCTATTGATTAGTTAATGGTATTGTATCAGTGTTAATTTCCTGGTTTTGATCATCATATTGCTGTTATTTAAGATATCAGTATTAGAGGAAGTAAGTGAAGGGTAGAAAGGAACTCTTTACTATTTTTGGAACTTATATGTACATTTATTTCAAAATTATTTCAAAATAAATAGTTGAAAAATTGAGGGAAAGGAAGAGGAATTAAATTCTATATTCCTGGAGAAGGAAAAATCCCTCAGTTTTTTGGGAAATGATTCCTAAAATTCCAAAGTTTGCATCAATCATTTCTCTTCATCAATACCATTTCTTTAACTTTTATAATATGTGCATACTCTGGGATGCTTTTCAGCATGTAGAGGGATCATTAGCTAGAGATAGCTCACAGAAAAGGCCAGGAAAACTTGTTAGAGAAATGATATTCAATGGTGTACAACAGTCACTGGTTAAACAAACATGCTAAGTAGTATTTTAGGTGCTGAAGATATAGCAGTGAGCAAGATAACAGATCCCTAGCCTCCTGGAATTTCCAGTCTTATTAATAAAAAGGTAAAATCAGAAGGTTAACTTTTTTTTAAGTCCCCAAAACTTGGAAGGTGGACAGGCTGTGAAAAGGCTGTGCGGGTATGGAGGCTTATGTTAAAAAAAAAAAAAAAAAAAAAAAGTTAACAAAAATTGGAGAAGGTATTCAAATCGGAAAGACCATGGTCTGTTAGCATGTTCTAGATGCATAAATGCAGATCATGAATCCGTGTTTATAAGCTAGGAAAGGGCAGAAAGCAGATAAGTGGATTACATGATAGAAAAATCAGCAGAAAAGTAGTACATGGGGCAGACTGAAAGGCAAGAGTGAAGGGAAGGAAAGGTAGCAATGAGAACCGTCGCAGTCTGTTTATAATATGACTTAGCCCACGAGCATTACTGCAAAGAATGCACGAAGGTGGAGAATGAAGGGCTGCGCCGAATAGGATTTCAGAGGGGCATGCGTGAGGAGGACAGAGAAGAAGACGGGATAGGGGACATGTAAGAGGAAAACATCACACTGGGGACTGCTGAAAAAGGGACGGAGGAAAGATACTGGTCACCTACGAGCTTCGGGGACAGCGAGGAGGGTGGCGTGGGAAGCGAGAGTGTGCGGGCGTCGCCGGGGCGGCTGCAGGCGCTCCCCAGGCGCGGCGGGCCCGGGGCTTCACCGACCCGAGCACGGGAGTCCCGCGCGGGTTGGGGGTAGGTTGCGGGGCGGAGGGGGAGGTGTGCACTGTGTTTGGTGATGTCATTGCAAGTCAGTGAGCGGTGAAATTTAACACCGGCCGGATTTGCTGGGCTCTTCTTCCAGGGGAAGCAGCCGGCGGCAGTCAACGCTGAACGCCTGAAGTTGCCACCGGCCCCCTCTCACCGACCAGATTTCCGAAGTGGGTGTGTGTGCTTGTCTGACAAATGTTCAGGCGCGGGGTGTTTCCAAGGACTTCCCCCCCAACACACACACCCCCTTCATCTCCTTCCCTCCCCCAGCCCTCTCTCCTCCCAGCCCCAAAGCAGAGGACTCCACTGAAGTCACAGAGTCGCCTTTGAACCGCAAGTGAACTCGAGGGCTGCGCTCGCGGCGGAGTTCCAGCTGCTGCCGGCGCCCCGCCGCCTGCCAGTGAGGTCTTGCTCCTCGCCCGCCCTCCCAGGGGAGCGCTCCCCCCGGGCTCGTCCGTTACCGAGCTAGGGAGCTAAGCCTAGCTGATTGATCTATCCTTTGGGTGCTATTTCTTTCCCCTTCCTATTTCTCTCCTCCCTTTTTGTTGTTGTTGTTGTTGTTGTTGCGATTTTGGAGCATCGTTTTCATGTTTTTTTTTTTTTTTTTTTTTCTTCTTCTTCCTTTTTCATGGCCAGTACCTGCACCCTTAGCAGTTCGGAGTTGCCTTCTGTTTTCCGTTAGCGCTTCGCTGCAGGGACAAATGCATACAAATGCATTTAGGAGCCCACAGGACAAGGCGTGGAAAGGTCTCCCACACGGCAAAAACGTAAGTAGCCCACTCGCCCGGAGGCTAAGGTTAGACCCACCCCTCTCCCCATCCTCCAGACCCTCTGGGCGGGTTGGAGATCTGTGCTCCCCCGCTCCTTGGCACTTTTCGAAGTTGGGAGCCGGCGAGCAGCCGTGACATCCTCCTCTTGTCTCCTCAATTTGTAAAATACCGTGTTTGAAAGGAAGCCTCCTGCCAGCGGATCTCTCAGAAAGTTCATGCTAAAGAGGTCCTGCGGCTGGGGAGGGAAAGCTCGCTGGCTCGCGTCCCGGTGCCGGCGGCCGCGGTTCCCGCGACTCCCGGAGCTCAGATCGGACGCGGCTGGAGCTCCGGCTCCCGCCGCCCTCGCGCCTTCCTTTCCTTCTCCTTTCTCAGGGCCCTGGCTGAGGTTCTGCTATCCCGCGGTTCTTCTCCGGGCGTCCAGCTTGGGGACTGCCCGGGCGCCGGCGGTCCTCTGGGCTGTGTGCGCGGAGCCTGGACCGCGGGGCACAGATGTGGGCCGCGGTTGCTGGACTGGAGGAGAGGGTACCCGCAAAAGCTCGGGCATCGGGGCGCGGCTAGCCTCGGAGGCAATCGGCTCTTGTCGTTAGGAGGCCAACACACGTGCTGCCCATCTGGGGCCGAGGCAGCGTCCTGCTTCCTTGGCCTGTCACTGGGGAAGGGGCTGGACGCGGGGGCGGGGCTGCTCCTCCTGCAGTGTGTTCGCGCAGGCCCGGACTGGCACCCCACCTCCTCTTTGGGCGCTGTACCAGCTCCTGCTCCCTCCCTCACTGGGAAAACAGCGTGGAGGGGAGTGCGTGCCTTGGCTGGCTGCCCTGCTCCCCGTGGAAGAGGTCAGTGGGTTTTGGAAGTTTGCTTCTGGCCCCTGGAGCCGGAGGAACCAAAAGAGGCTCGGGTCATTTTCTGCCCCGAAGCTGTCCCTTGGGAGAATTGGTGAGGGTAAGGGGTAGACCTGCCGGTGCCCGCTGAGGGCAGGCGGAGGGAGGCGGGGCGCGGGAGAGACCGCCTTGTGGCACTGTTTGTGTGCACATGTGCTTCCCAGCAGCATGCAGGCTGGGGCTCGCGCGCTGTCTGCTCTGACCCCTGTGAGTTCCGACAGCTGGGCTTCCCGGCTGAGGAGGACGCTCCTCCCCACGCGCCCGAAGCCGGATTAGTCAGTGCGGAGGAAAGCTAGCGATCCCGTGCTTGGGGCCAGGGGCCGGCGACCGGGGAGACCCGGATCCCGGAAGAGCTCACCCAATGCCGGTTAATTTCCCCAGCGCGACTCCCGCGGGTCGCACCGGCTTCCCAGGCAGGTTTCCCGCCACATTTCTCAATAAAAGCCCCTCAGCGTGGACCCGGTCGGAAAGCCGGGCTCCCTGCGCAGCCGATCCTTGGGGACCCCGCTCATGTTTCCGCTGATCCGAGTCGGTGGAATGGTGGCATGAGCGTCGGGCCCCCGGAGGTCCAGCCAAGAGGAGAAGCTGGGTGAGGTCGGCCAACTCTTGGCCGGCCCGCAACCTCCGCGTTCATTCCTGTGTGCCTGTTGCCTTCCCGGCCAGCACCTACCCAGAGGGCTTTCCCTTGGCCACCCAGCAAGGCCTGCGCCGTTGCCCAGACATCCGCGGGGTTGGTAGTGGTAACCAACTTCTCGGATTAAAGCAGATCTTCTCTGCTCCTGGCCTCTGTCTTGTTTTGCTTACACTTCCCTTCCAGACGCTCCCAGAAAAGGCCCTGCGTAAATTTTTGGGCAGTTTGGGGTTTGTAAATTGGGTCCAGATGATTGGGGGGAGGGAGGCTGAGAAACCAAACAGAATGGATTACACGAAGGAACTGAGGAAAAATAAGACTACGTGGAACGGGAAAGGAACCTTTGCTGAGAGAATTGGGGTTGAAGGCACTGGTCTAGAAGGTCTCTCCGTGAGGAAACCTGCAGCCTCCTTTGACGTGAAGTCGTCGAGTTTGCTCCACTACAGTTGGCAGTGGGGATGGGCTGCAGAGAATTAAGGGTAATTCAAGGTTACATCAGATTGCACCCCCTCATAGCTCCAACCGTACACATGCCAAGTAGGGGAAAGAGTAGTTACTGACTAATTTGACAAAATTGTTTCTCAAAAAAATCCAATTTCCATAAAGAATTATCGGGTGCCTTGGGTGGCTCAGTTGGTTAAGCCTCTGCCTTTGGCTCAGGTCGTGATCTCAGGGTCTTGGGATCCAGCTGGGCACTGGGCTCCCTGCTCCACTGGGAGTCTGCTTATCTTTCTGCCTTTACCTTTGCTCCCCGCCCCCCCCCACCCCTTCTTGTGTTCTGTCAAATAAATAAATAAAATCTTAAAAAAAAAAAACTTAAAAAAATAAAAAAAACCACTACCAACCCTATAGCGAGGGGACTTGGTAGAAGCAGCTGATGAGCTGATGATAATGTCAGCCATTGAATTACACCTTAGAGTTTCTAATGAAATCCTTGAGGTTTTAATTTCCCGCCATCCTTTTGTGGTGACGTTTTTTGTAAAAACAGGAGCAGTTTTTTTTAAAATCACAATTCTGATTACTCACCCAAAAACATTTGCAGTTTTAAAACTGGATCCTTAAAAACATTTTATTTCATGGGGCTAGCTTTTAAGTGAATTACCTAATGTGAATTTGTGGTAGTAATAAAAGGAAATTAAAACCAGAAGTCAGTGTTAGATACAATGATTTCACAGTATCAGAAAGTCCCCCAGGAAGGCTATTATTGTAATTAAAGGGTTTCTATAACCAAGGTGTGTTGGGGTTGGGGGGTAGTTTTGGATATAAACATCTATTTCCTAGTTGGCATAAAACTCCATTCTTTAAAGTTGCTTAGTTATGTTTGTTTTTAAGTAGTTGTATAAAATAAGCTGATGTCTCAAGGAGAGGGATTGTAACTTATGAAAGTAGCTTTGAGTGTTGCTTAGACATTCTGCTTGGTAATCTGTGAAGTGGCAGGAGAAAAATATAAATTTTATTATGGAAATTAAAATAGCTAGTTTCCATGCCATGTGTTGCAACTATGAGTTATTTTAGAATTTGTAACTCTGAGCAAGAAGTGAGGTAAAGACCATTTCATTTTCATCCTCCTAAAAGGCTAACGTTATTCTGACAGTCATTCACTCAGTCATTCACTCATTTATTCAACAAATGTTTTCTGAGCCCCAACTATGTGCCCAGCATGGCTCTAAGCAGAGAGGATACAGTGGTGGAGCAAGACAGAAACACAACTGCTGCCTTCCCAATGTGCTCAGGTTAGTATAGGAAACAGAAAATGAACAACCAGGTATACAAAAATGAGAGAGGAGGACACCTAGAAGTTCTGGGTAGGTGGGGTAGATACGGAAGAGTAATCCTGGAAAGCAAGGCTGACCAGAGGAAATGAAATCCTCACTGAGACCTAATTGGAAAAGGCATGGAACTTTCCATACAGAGCAGTAAAAGGCTGAGAGGCGAGATAGCACAGTTCATTTGAGGGCCTGGAAGAAGTGAAAAGTTGGTTGTAGACCACGCTTTCTAGATGAGGAGTGACTGGAGCTGGATCTGGAGACCAGAGACCGGATTCTGAAAGGTCTTTAAACCGGATTACTTTCTCAGCTAAATAAAAGGAGGTTAGGATGACCTGACTTCTTGATCTTGGGATCAGTGAGCATGTCGAAGATGCTAGAAAAGTTATATGTTTATTGAAACTCAAGACCACCTGATAGTCTTGCTAACTGAATATTGACTCATTCATTTAAAAAACTTTAGTTAACATGAGTGTGGGCAAGGAAGTTTGTGAGGGTAGGCAGCAATCATTTTAACACTCTCTGGGGTATTATGAGGATGGACTAGCTGAGTTATTTTTCTTCCCTGTTACTGACTGGATTCTAGGCATTTTGATTACTTGACGTTTCTAAGCATTTATTTCCCTTGTACTTCATGAATTGCCTGTTTGCTTGAAATTTAACCAAAAATTCTAGTATCTTTCACACTGTGTTACTTATACAAGTACCTACTGAGCTGAATTGGTAATCTCAGAAATTCATTGTATACAAGTTAGTGACAACACTTCACTCCCTGAATCATTCAACTTTAACCCCACTGCTGGGATGAGAACTGATCTTCAATTATTTGGTCAACAAAGGACAAAAATCTTACTATTTCTGGATCTTTGCATCTAGTAAAGAGCAAAATCTGTAAAGTTGTCATAACTTAAAGGAGTTTTTGGCTTGTAAATGTAGTATAATGGTAATTGTTGAAATTATTGATAGATATCACATGTATGGTTTTCAGATCATTTTGCCTTTCCCAAATGGTTTAAATTAAAATAAGCAACTCATACACACAAAAAATTCCCTAGTCACAAGATTTCACAAGTCCTTCTTAAAATTGTAACTTGAGTCTATGTTGGAACGAGCTTCGGTAGCCTACAGACACAAGACGTGAGAGTCTCCGGGGGGCCCTAAACAAAAAGATGCCTGGGATTCTCTTAAAGTAACTTAAACCCTTCAGATAAAGAGAAAGTTGAATAGCTCTGAGAATTATTTAGGGAAGATGCCTGGGATGGATATTAGTTCCTTAAATATTTTGTCTTTGGATATCCATTTCCTGTCTGATCCCCTCCAGGCCTTCACCTCTCACATGTCTGGTTATGTTTTGATTGTGGCTTCTGTCATACTGAAAATGTGGCTAGCAGACCAGACACACAGAAATATTTCATATTTTCCTAGAGTTCTTCACATATTAATATCATGGGTTATGTTTTTGAACTTTTATTGACTGTTACCATATTGTTGATTTCTTTTAGATCTGGTCTGATTTTGTGAAATGTCTGAATCTATGTACTTCTGTTAGATTCTGTTAGTGACATATAGTTCAGACATACAGAAAAGTGACCAAAAGCAGACATGCTTTGAATATTTGAAAAATAGTCATATTTAAATACCAATTAGACTTTTTGTGAAAGTAAATATGTGAACAAATGAGCAAACTTAGTAGACAATTTTACATGACGTAATTAAAAGAGTATTGGCCAGAACTTCAGGAAGACCTTTCCAGATTTGTGGTTAAACATCGTGTCTATTATATATAGTGATTTATGGAACATCTTGCTAAATAATTTGATCTTTGTCTTTTAATGCTAGTATACTAACAGAATTCTAGGGTTTTATATTTAGAATGCAAAATATGAAATTTATAGTATCTTATCCCATGATAGATGAGTCAGCCGAGACTCAGAACATTGAAGTGAATTGCCCAACGTCACACAGTAAGTGAGAAATAGAACCAGGTTTAGTCTTTTGACTCTCAGTCTAGTTTTACTTTCTTGTTTACAACACTGTTTTCTCTCCGACCTAATGTAGTTTTTATTTTAATTTATTCAACGACTCCTGCCTGTCTTAACATTAAATGCATTCCTGGTTCAGCGGATGCCCTTGAGAACTCCGTCTACTGCTAATGTGGAAATGGGACATTTTTTCTTCATTAAGTGAATGCATAGTAAATGTGATATCATGGGAGGGGGGCAAAACCAAAGAAATAAACAGGTCCAGCCCAACTAGACATTTTCCAGAAAGCTTGGATTCATTAGACATCCATTTCATACAGTGATGGAGTTTGGCTCTTTAACTGAGTATGTCAATTAAGCATGATGTCTTCTCTGTGTTCCCACTTCAGAAATGAGAAAAACAGTCACAATGAAAAAAAAAAAAAAAGAAGAAGAAGCCTTTCCACTTAGCCTATTGTAGCAGATATTTTTAAATATTCTTCTTTCTCTCTTTGGACAGCCAAATGAAAGTACTCTTATTTATTTTACTTTACTTTTCCCAAGTGTTAAAAGAATTAGATCCATACGGGAAAATTGAATTCCTCAGTCATCGGGCGATGTTACCTTTACTCCTTTTAGCAGACACTCAACCGACTGTTTAATAAACATTTTTTTTAAATGGAAAGGAGTAACAGTACTCCTTTTCCTAGCTTGGGTCCTGGAATCGAGTTGTACATGAGGCTCCTTGCTAAGTGGGGAGCCTACTCCCTGCCCCCCAGTTGTGTTCTCTCTCTCTGACAAATAAAATCTTTTTTTTTTTTTTAAAGGGATGCCTGGGTGGTTCCCTTGGTTTAAAATGTTTATTAATTGTCAATTTCATGTAAGCAATAGATAAAAGGTGAAGACCTATTTCTTGTTCAGCTATTTACTTACTAATTAATCCTAAAAGGTACAACATATATGGGATATAATAAAGTTACAATTAAAGCATTAGAGTACAGAGAGGAGGGAAAGATCCAGGCATCTTTAGAGATGATGGAAACTTCATGGAGCAGATGTTATTCAAATTAGGCTTTGGTAATATTTAAGATTCTGACAGGTGGAGATGAGAATGGCCTTTAAGACACTTATAAGCTCTCTCCAGGAAATACAGTATAATGCGATACGGCTGTAGCTTCAGGGGAGGGGAGGTAGGTGTAATGGAATCCATATTGCTATGGATATGGATATCCATATGCTCTTCCTTAGGTGGCTGTTAGTTTGGGATGTAATTAGAAAAAGAGGAAAAAGTCTTTGTCTAGTCATCAGTCTCTACTTCTCTATTAGTCATCGGTTTTAATACTTAGGTACACTTACATAAGGTATGGCTCAACTGATTTGTCATAATCCCCTAAGATCACCTGGCTAAGGGGTGATGTTTGATGTGTTCAGGTTTTCCTGCCTTACACCAGGAATGGACTTGTTAACATGTCTAGAAAGAACTTTATTTTTTATTTTTCTCCCCTGGGGTCATTGGGGGAAGTCTATGAGTTGGCTGAATTGCTAAATGAATACTGCTGGTTTTTGTACTCTTGATTAGTTAGCTTCCTCTGAATAGAGGAGTGCCTGTTGGGTTATTTCTAAACTCTGAGTGAGCCAGGTTACCTTGGGCAGATGAGACATGATTCCTTTCACATCCCATTTACTGCTAAAACAGCATAATCTGCTGTACTCTCCTTCAGTGATTGCAATCCTGAGCTATTTTTTAGTCTCACTAGTGTATGTATCCTGCCAGTTATTTGTTGAAAATATAAAGTTGAAAGGAAGAGAGCCTCTTTTTACTCAAACTCTAGATCACTTTGGGATCCATCTTGGAGAACCTTGAGTTATCATTTTAATCTCACACAGAGGTCCTCAACTTGCACAGTAGAATCACCGGGGGGAGTGTTTAAGAATCCCTGTACCACAGACAAATTAAAATCAGAATCTCTGGGGGAACGGGTGGAGAGGGAAAGTCCAAGTATTAGTAGTTTCTAAGACTCCCCAGGTGATTCCACTGTGCAGTGGAAGGTAAAAACCAGATTCAAAACATGTAGGCCCTTCATCATCCCTTGAGCATCATCTGTTCCTGTAGTCCTCATAGCGTCAACCCCAGATTCACTGCATCAGCATTGCCTGGGGACTTGCTGTCCATGCAAGTCCTCAAACCTCACCCCAGACCTGGTGAGTCAGAGCCTCTCAGGGTGGAGCCCAATGATCTTTAAGGAGGCCTCCAGGTAATTCTGCTGCATGGTGAAGTTTGAAACCACTGATCTAGAGCAAGAGAAAAAGATAAAAACAAAAACAAACAAAAAACAGCAATCCCCTCCAAGGGTCAAATAATCTTATCTCATGTAATTAGATGTCTGTGATTTGAGCAAAATAATATTCGTGTATTTTAAGTACAATGTAACTATAATTAGTAAATGTTCTAAATTGCTGTTTCTCAGAGTTTGATATATGCACAATCCTTGTTAGAATCACCTAGTTAAAGACGTGTACAAACTGAGGATTCACTCCAAATTTATGGATAATAATCTCTGAGGCAAGCCCAGAATCTACATTTTTCACAAGCATCTCAGGTGATTCTTTTAGCAAATTAACATTTAAGAACTATTGTTTTAAATGGATGACACCACACATAGGAATCTTTTATATGCTTTATTAACACATATGGGTCAGCTATTCGCTTGCCCAGATCAGTTGAAATTTCTGTAATTGTTCAGTTGGTTAAATTATAGAATTGATAACATTTTTAAGTATTCTAGCAAATCTTTGTCTTATAAAAGTTGTGCTCTGTACTGAGTATGACCATATACATTTTTCACCCACTAAAATATGGCTAAGGCCATTTTAATATAAGTGATAGTTCCATTGTACCAAGAAGAGTATAATTACATATTGTTGGCTCATTTTGTAAAAGATTATCATTGTTATATTAACATGCTACTTATACTAGTTGAAAAGATAAAAACATATTTATCGTTGGTAATAAACAGGGAATGTACCAATTACTGTCAGCACACCAGGAACTTAATAAAAAGAAAAATTATTTGTCAGAGGGCTTTGTAATCACTCCTTACAGAACTGCATTTTACAGAAATGTCATTTAGGAAGTCCCTGAGTTAGAATAAAAAACAAATAAAAAACAGAATTAGGTGATCAGCTATTGTTTTCAGCAAGCTTAGCATTACTTTTTGAAATTATCTCTATGGTTTTTACTTGAGAGGTAGATATAACCAATTATGAAGGCTACTCAATAAAATCTATCAAAAGTTTGGCTATACTAAAACAAAATCATGAAATATTTGTAATCAGCTAATCAGTATGAATGAACATTTTGATATGCAATGATTGAGTATCATGCTCACAATTATTGCAAATCAAAATGTTCGATGTTGATATATACAGGCCATTGTTATTTTCAGAACCCAAACATCATGAATCTAGTACAAGTGATATTCAAATGGCTTTCATATGATAATCAAATGGCTTTCCCATATAAACATTCATTTAAAAAAATCACTGGTTCCACGATTTATAACCGCTATAGTTAAGTGACTATAAGTTCTGTTACTTTGTGTAAACTTATATTACTTTGTATAAAATTGCATGTATGATGCTTTGATGTAATATGTAGTCATCATCATCATAATATCATTTATATGAGTCATGTTTGTTGAGTGCTTCCTTTGTGCCAGGTACTGGTTTGTGTGCCTTACATGAAATTTTTCAGTTAATCTTTGAAAAAGTTTATGAGATAGGTTGAACAGATGAGGAAACACAGTGGTGATAAAAAGTGTTCTCAAGTCATACACTAAGTGACAAAGCTGGAACTTAAATTCAGAGCCCTTGCTTTTAACCATTATGAGTATTAAAATACTGTGTAAATTAAAATGATAGCTTATTTCTTGGGATGCCTGAGCAGCTCAGTTGGTTAAGTGTCTGCGTTTGGCTCAGATCATGATCCCAGGGTCTTGGGGTGGAGCTGCTTCTCCTGACCTACCAACTCATGTTCTCTCTCTCAGATAAATAAAAAAAATCTTTTGAAAAATGATACCTCATTTCTTAATCTTGTACTGGAGTTCATTTGGGATTTTATATGATTTATAGGTTGTAAATATCCACTAAAATTTTCCTTTTTTTTTTTTTTAGGAAACTGCTTCTCCATTTTATTGTGCTATGTGTGGCAGCGGGTGCTGTTCATGCACAAGAACAAGGTAAGAAAGTTACCTTGTTACTTCTTTGCTTATATAAAAATTCTCCTTCCAAACAGCAAAAGTATATGTTTTCAAAATCATCAGAAGCTTAAATTCAACATTAAACAATAAAAACTTCTACCCAGTACAATGAGAATGTAAGGGTGAAGAAACCAATTTTGGGGGGAAATATGACCTTTAAGAAATTACTTACATTTTTAAGCGAACTCTCTATAAAAGGGAAGTTTTGTATAGTGAAAAGGCTTTGCTTGTGACTTCATTTGAAGTGGGAGTTCTTGGGGGTGGCAAACTGTGACTGAGTTACCTTTGCACTTCTTGAAACAACACAAGCATATTCCATCTAGATTTATGTCATTAAGAAACAAAATGCAGTTTGCCTACCAGTGGGTTTGGGATTTTATTTAATTCAAATGGAGAGGTTTAGAGAATAGTTCAGTGTTTTGTTTTTGCCTGCTGGCCAGTTGCTCTAGTAGTATGGTGATAGCGTTTCAGGAATCTATGTACGTTCAGATTAATATAATTATTAAACAGCATTTTAAAAGGTATCTTCTATTTGCCATATAATGTCCTAGTTGCCAGAAATGGAAATAAAAATAAGACAATGTTTCTGGCCTCAAAGTGTAAAAACAAGTGCCTTTGTCAAAGGTTAAAAATAAAAAGCCAAAGTCAAAGAGAAAAACCTGGGAACTCTGCTGGATCTACAGAGAGTATCACCATGGCCCTATTTTATTTATTATTATTATTATTATTATTATTACTATTACTCCTCTGTTTCACATCACCAGGGCTGCCAAATTATTCATTCTGACAAAACCATCATTTCAGTTCAGTGATCAGTTCCACAAGCCACTTGTCAATTTGGCCAATCAACTAAACAACAGTAAGAAAGAGTGAAGTAAATGAAATATACATAGGTAGAGGGAGGGTGTGCAAAGGAAGGGGTGGTGCTCTATCTGACTGACCAAACTGACAAGTAGACAGAGAAGTATACTGTCAAGTAGCACGTAGGTGAATTAAAAGATATCTTGGAAGGCATTTTCTGTTTTATGGGGAAATGGTTACATTAGGTCACATGTCACGTATAACTTCATGAAATTCTATTCTTGACCAAGTCATTTCTGCTACTTTATTTTGCTTTGATTACCCATGAAGAGGAGAGAAACTATCTTTTGGTTCACTGTTAGTACACTGTTATTACTTATACCTTCTGAGAACTTAATGTGTGCCAGCCCCATGTGTACAGAATATATATTTACCACTACTTCATCACAGGATTTTTATGACTATGCCCATGATAGAATTGGTGACACCAAGATTAAGAAGAATAAGTAACTACCCCAGGGTTACAGGCAAATAAATGGAAGAACCAAGATTTGAACGCAGGTATATTGATTGCAAAGTCTACAAATTCTTTAAAATTGAGCCTCTTGGACCACAGAGAAGAGCAAAAAGAAGAGAACCCATCATTATTAATTACACATATATTTTGTGGATTGACCTTGCCTAGCCCTTTACATCTATTATTCTAATATTCATAATGAGCCTGCAGGATAGGGATTATAGGTGAAGAAACTGAGGCTCACAGAAGGGGGTTTGCTCAGGCTTGTACAGCTGGGACTTGAATCCAGGCCTGCCCATCTCTCACAACAAACCTCTTTCCACTACACATCTTCTGGCTTCACAGTTGTCATCTGCTGGTGTCATGAGTTTAATAATTTCAAAAGGTAGCATTATCAAGATATTAAAAACCCAGGCAAAGAAAGATATAAGGAAAACTGAGTATTTTTGAATAGATTTTTTTGTAAATTCAGAACCAATGAAGGAAATAATATCTTTCAGTCTTAAGATTTCATTTATAGAATACAAAATATGCTCCTTTATTTCAGAGTGAACATCACAATCTTTAGTTTTCCTGTAACTGTAACATTTTCTTGTGAGTTCTTAACAAAAAGAAAACTCTTTTTAAAAGCTCTTTGATTTCCGGGATGCCTGGGTGGCTCGGTCATTGGGTGTCTGCCTTCGGCTCAGGTCATTATCCCGGGGTCCTGGAATCAAGTCCCACCTGGAGCTCCCTGCTCAGTGGGGAGTCTGCTTCTCCCTCTTCCTCTGCCCCTCTCCAGACTCATGTGCACAAGCTTGCTCTCTCAGATAAATAAATAAAAACTTCTAAGTTTTCCATTTGTTTTACAACCAAGTATAACCTATTGAATACATGATTCTGTTTCAAGGAAAAATTTATTTAAGGCTGACTTTTCTGAGGACTTGACCAAGATAGATCCCTTTTCCTATCTGATAAAGTCTGCTTTCCTTATTGCTCAGTCTGGGTGGGTGGGCTGCCTCCAGAGATGGACCAAGCTGCACTCCCTCTTCAGGCTAATGTACACCATGCCAGCTGTGTAGCGAATCCTCAACATGCACAACATTCTCAGGTTCATGGTCCCTGCGTGTGAAAGCCACATTTATAGCAATCGCTGTGTGTAGAGTGCTATTTCCAAAAAGAGTATTTCCTATGGACATGAATCCAAAATGTGTTTATTGTTAACAAAGAATCAGCTCATTCTACCTGTAGTTACTCTAAGGATTTTCTGCCAAAACCCCTTATGGACACTTAACCCAAATCTTTACACATAGGTTAAAACTTCATTTCTCATTTTAAGCACAAGTTTGTTTTTATCTATTTATCCATAATAGATGTGTTATTCACAGTAGGATACTTTAAAATCACACATACCCAGTATGACAGCGGTGCTAAATAAAGCACAGGTGTTCTAGAGCCCAAAGCCAGGTGCCGGTGCTTACTAGCTGTGTGATCTGGGGCAAGGCCCTTAAATACTCTGAGCTTCATTTTCAGCAACTCTAAAGTGAAGATAACAATAGTTCTTACTACATAGGGTTGTTGTGTGGGTAAAATGAGGTAATACATGTCAAGTGTTTAGTGCTTCCCTGTTATATGATGAAGACAAAAATAATTTTTTTAAAAAGAACACTCAGGATCCTTCTCTTTTCCCATGTACTCATAATGTTGAAAAACTGAAATAGTTGAATTTAAGCAACTTCCTTTAGTTCCTTAACTGTGTGAGCTGGAAGCAAGTCAGCTTGTATTCGAGTATTGATTCTAGCACTGTTTGGCTGAGGCTGTATAGAACAGTAGAGAGTAGATATTGGACAATTTATCTGGTTCATTTAGTCAATTTGGGTAAATGGGCAAAGTAAAGTATATTAAGGCTTATACAGTTTTTCTTATTTATAACTTTGTGATTTTATTTACTTACTTATTTAAAAGAGATTTTATTTACTTATCTGAGAGAGAGTGAGAGAGAGCACAAGAAGTGGGGGGAGTCAGAGGGAGAAGCAGACTCTCTGCTGAGTGGAGAGCCTGATACAAGACTCCTTCCCAGGACTCCAGGATCATGACCTGAGCTGAAGGCAGATGCTTAACCGACTGAGCCACCCAGGCACCCCTTTGTGATTTTATTTTAAAAAATGATTTAATTTTTTCATTTCTACAAACTAGAAAGAATATAGCTTGGATATTTGGCTGACTCAGATATATGAAAATTTTAAACAGTGAGAATTTATTAAATTAAGTGCTATATTATATTAGTTATTTAATGAGTTAGCATTCTAATTTATTATACTTGTTAAGTGATATTACTCTTTACCTTTTATCTAAAAGTTGATAACTTTTAATTCTTTTAAACTGCCACTTACTAAGAAATGTAAGAATCCTTACATTTTTGAGGGCACACACAGTATTTCTATTGTTCCTCTAATTTATGATAGAATATTGTTGAATATTGACAATATTTTGTTTTCTTTGGCTCTCTTGTGAAAAGAAGTGCTTACAAAACTTATAAAGCAAGTATAATCATTAGCTCTCCCATCTCTATTTCTTTAGGTATATAGTACATTTCACCATAGAGTTAATTATCTAGTCACTGGATTTAAAGTCAAATACTAGGGTATGAGTCATAATTTTATCATCTACTGAGACTCAGTTTCTCCTTTTTCCTCCCCCCTTTCCTATTCTTTCTACCTCTTCCTACTTTCTATCTCTTTCCATTTTCCTCTCTTCTTCCCTCTTGCCCTCTTTATTTTCTTCTAACTAATGATGATAGAATCAATGGTGCTTATTATACAAGTTTCACATGAAAGGCAATCAAGGTTGGAGTGTCTGTGCCTACACCTCAGCATCAGCCCTGTAGCCTTCAAAGACTGATTTATTAGCAAATGGAGTATGATCTGTTTGTCTTCAGTGCATAGCAAAACAACAACAAACAAAAATTACACTGAAGGCTTACAGAGAGAGGAGGTAACACTCAAACTGAGTCTTACAAGATGAGTAAATTTGGCATGAAGGGGTATACTTAGCAGGGCTCTGAAAGAATGGGATTTTTTTTAAATAGATACATTTTGATATGGCAAGAAATTTAAGAAAAGTGGAAGAAAAAAAATGAGAGTGGAGAATGCCATGGAGTGAGTAGATACAGTGAAGGAAAAATGTGTAAGAGCTAGTGTAAACTAGGGGGCAGTCAGCAAGACCAAGCTTACTTCTTGTAACACAACTGCAAGTTTGAGGGTCTCCAAGACAGCCTTCAGTCTCAACGATGTGTTAGAAGGATTTATGGAACCCAGTGAAATCTGTTATACTCACAGTTATAGTTTATTACAGCAAAAGAATATGGATTAAAATCAACCCACAGAAGAGACACATGGGTTAGGGTCTAGGAAAGTCCCACATACAGAACTTGTGGTTGTCCTCTCCAGTGGAGTCAGTGCCAACTCTCCCAGCAATGATATGTGATGGTGTGCACAGACTATTGCCAACCAGTGAAACCTAGGCCTGTGCAGAGTCTTTAGTGGGGCTCTGTCATGTAGACAGGATGGACTGCCCATGTAGCTGACCTCCGTCTCCAGTCCTTCTTGAGGTTGAAGAGTTACCACAGGACCCTTATCATAAATCACATTGTTGGACTACCTGGTGTTGTCTACAACCCTGG